AACTAGCATATGGAGATACTCAGATAAAATTCCGTTATCTCTCTATCGAAAATTACTTCCGGTGTGCTAATCATTGGGGTATGACTTCAGTTGCTTGTTCGTCAATTACTTTCACTGCCACTGTTCAATTCTACAAACTTCCTTTCGAAAAGGGTTATCCAGTGGACTCTGCATCATCAGATTAAATCCTGATGTGCGGAAGTGCTGTATCCGGCAATTTGATATCGGTCACTTTTCAGGACATTATGGTAATGCACAATCACCGCTTTCGCAACATACTCTTGCTCTAGATCCCGCAACACAAGCGTTTTCGGTCGGGAGTAAGAGACCGCGTCGTGTCCAGCTGATGTGACATCTTGTCCATCGTATGGAATTTTGTACAAACACATGATTGTCATGTTTTTCCGGTTAGTTTTCAGCCCTCGTCCAACTAGTTTGTTCGTAAGGAAAATTTAATCGAAATCCAGTTGCTTGTTAACATATCTGATTGGTGTGAGGAACGGGTGATTTTTTTACTGAACGCACATTTTACATTCTCGATAAGTGACGTGATAAGTGACGAAACTCATAACATTTGACCTCAAACAAAGATTAAATTGTACAAGCGTGGTAAAAACGGGTCAAACTCTTTTTGGTCGAAGTATTCTTTGTTTCATTATCTTAATGCAAACAATGCAAGTTTCAAGTCAGGATAATTCTATGAACTTTAAACATACCGGTTTCAATTTAATTGCTTAAGAGAACTAAGGGTCATTCTCGTTCTTTAACCGTGTCCGTCTACATCAAACTACCGCTTTCCAAGTCGATCATTATGTTGCCCGTTACACAGCCATACTCCAACAGCCCAGTCTCACTGTTCTCTAACAGAACTGTATTAACCAAAATGATTTATATCCAACGGTGAAATACACATCGTGCACCATTTCGCACAAGCGTGTAAACATTATCACCATCTCGTTCGCATTGACTACTGACATTGGGATCGGGAACATACATTATTCAGATCTTGCAGACGATCATTTCCTGCATGTGTTTTATCTCGCTTAAGCTTATGTAGGCGACCCCGTCAGCATTCAAAGCAATGCTGCTGTCTAAACTACCCAGACATCCAATAATTCTAGTAGTTGCAATCGTTAGTCATTTCCAATGCTACGTCATATTATATTATGGTAAAAAAATTAAGTTTCCACTTTTAATTCAACAGACACCCTAATCAGCAATACAGTTAGTTAGAGATATTCAATTGTGAAACCAGTTTGCAGCCTTAGGTTAATGGTGGACTGCGATGGTAGAATACTGTATCAGTTTGACTTAGCCACTCAAGGTTCCTCATTTCCTGTGCATTTATATCGCAAGACTAGGTTAGTCTCCTAACTGTTTTTAGCAAACATAAAGTATCCACTGTGTACTTGTTTACTTGTAATTAATATAAAGTTATTAGGAGAGTTTCGGCGTGGCTCTTTCCCATCCCTGCACTCAGCGACCGACGGTTTCGTTTTGGTTTAGACTCATCAGGTAGTGGTAGCCGAGCTGAAAGTGAAACTCGGCGCATAGTGCCATTGAGTTCCGCAAGCAGTGCTTGACACAGCGGTTAGAAGTTGCTTTTCGGATTTTGGAGCATCCGCTGTGTGTCTTGGATACAGACACGCAATCCCAATCGTATCTGAGTTTCCGCAATTCCGTACCCAAAGGTATCCTACGAACAGAACTTCATTAGCGGATAACCTCAACAGTAGAACCCTTTAGAATCTGCTCTGTCTTACTAGGTGGAGAAGTATGGAACACGAGAGCTTGGTGCTATTCATTGACACTATGCATCTTCACCACATGCTACCTTCAACTCCAGGAAGAAATGCGTCTGAAGAATAAAATAAGGCCAAACTTGGTACGCCAGCAGTCTCTGAGATTTTACCCCGATAACTTTCCCAACCTCAACTTTAACAATTTTCCGTTGCTCATCAACCCACCAGACTAATTCTATGCGAGACCCCTTTCGTATCGTATTCAGAAAACTCTCTTCATGCAATTGTCACACGAATATGCATTGTATATGTAGTACAATTGTTGTTTTTTCATGGCCAAATTAAAAGCACCTTGTGGCCCACCGGAAAGGCCATTACTATCCTCTCGTTAATTAGAGGGCAGAATCGTCTCAACCAATGGGCTATGATACAGAACAACTGAACTGTGATAGCAAGGAAAACAAAAGAAAAAAACTAAACGAACAGAATGAAAAACATGACACTCCGTTTTCTGCCTTACATGGAGTAGGAGGTCGTCGTAGCGAATGCCGGTATGAGAAGAGATCGACAAAGAAATTAGACACATACGCCATTAAAGTAGTCTTTTGATCACGTCAAAAATCAAAACCAATCAAATGTTTTCATCGTTTTCCGAACCCCAAGGGGAGATTCCAGAATTACAAACTGAGACCAGCTTTAAGGTGAGAACCTCTTTTCTCTTGCACAATCATCGGTTGACTTACAGTTCTCTCGTTGAATTCACATCCGGGTTACCGAATTTAGAGGGACAGAATGCGGTTTTTTTAAGAGCAGCGACCGTCTATATATCTTATGCAGTTGGCAACCGCCAGGCTTCGGAGACCTTCTTTTCATTAGCGCTCAACTTTGCCATGAAAAGTTGCCAGACCCGTTGTATTAACTTCCAAATGAGTTACGTCGTCATGGACTGAGAAGTTTTAGGGGCCGCCTAATGACCTATTGCCTGGGTTGCCAATCTGATTTTTCACGTAATGACATACCAACTGCTGATAACTTCTATCAAACATACGATATGTGACCTTTGACTTTGTTCAGCCTGGTTATCGGAGTGCCTTGGTACGCATTCAGAATATCTGGCTTCGCCAACTGACAGGTGCCAATGCGCTCATAGGATCATCCAGAATATCCTACGAAACTTTTTCGGAGATCGCTACGTGCATATGCATGGTCGGAGCCTACGCTTGTGCCCCAAATTGAACGATAGTTTTGAACTCAATCTCTGATCGAATGGGGTCCATACTTGGATAATGAGCGCCATGTATCCATGCGGTGGGCGCAGTGTCATAATGCATCACCCACGGCAAATGGACATGTATCCTCACATAATTGTGACAAGCACCCAGTGCATAGATGTGGCATAGGGTCAAGCTAAAGTTCGTCATTTAACAATTTTCCGACTTGAGTCTCCAGAACACCAGCCAGCGCCTCTGTGCCGGAGACCGTTGTACATTTGGCGCCAGAAGTAGACTTCAATAGGTTCAGCACTATAGTTCACGGCGGGGTTTTGCAGCAATAACAAACGAACACCTGTTATCTCAGTGAGACTTCGAAGTTTTGAACAATCCAAACAACTTTATGCAACTAATATAGAAAGACAAGATATGCTTCATTAGTCATGGCCAAGTGTTTGCGAGCGCAGTAGCAAACCAGCATTTTGAGTCCATTTTTTCATAGGTCAAAGTGCACGCAGCAGGTTACATGTGTTTTCTACTGGTCTGGCAATTAAGCTGAAAACAGTGCACTTGTCTGCGTGCTTTAACAACCCACTGATTCGTGTTAGGTCGTTCGTCTTACACCTTTAGAGACACTCAAACTAAATTGGCCAGCAGCTAGCGGATGGACAAAGTCAAGCTCCGTGTCCTCCAGCTTGGGGATCACAGTAATGCTTGCTCTTTTCAGACCTAAAAACTAGCATAAAACTTCCTGACTCTAGATAAAGCTTTGTCTGAAAACTCTAATAGTTTTCCTATCTGGGAATTGGTAATCTGACTTTGTTCTGCTCATAAGCCATGCGACGACCTCAGTTCGGAATTATTGATCAATCCTTTGGCTGTCTCGCAGGGGATAATGATCGAACGAGAGGAATGGAGATAATTTCCACTTCTATTGATTTTGCGAATAGCTGATTCCACACGCATGGTCATGTCCCGAACAGCAAATGGTTCACACTCTCCCATAGGAATGAGTATCTTCGGTATGTTGGCATCTCTTTTGCGTCCTGTGGTATTCAGCTAAGCTCAGTCGACTCTCCGGGAATTATCAAGTGCCCATTGTCTGTCATTTGCCATCACAGATGTCATCCGAGGTATATTTCATGGACTTATTGGCCGAGTTTGATCGAACAGAAAACGTTGTGTATGACGATTGCATTAGTATGTTGACAGAAACAGTTAGTACCAATTTAAATGCATTCCGTAGGCTAGTTATCTCAGAGTTTCCCGAGTATACTTAGGCATGGCTTAGCGTCATTCTTGTGATAAGCCCTTGAGGTCCATCTACAAGAAAATGCTACCGCTTTCTGTTTCTTCACATCATTGTCGACACATTTCAACCCCATTCATACCCCTTTTTCAGACCCTCACTTTTTTGATATATCTCATCGTAATTTGATCGCCGTTTGCTTTTATGCTTTGACACACGTAATCATAGAGCATCGCTCCTGCCCTGTCAAAATCTCCATTTCTAAACAAGTATAAAAACGCAGTTCATCCACTTCTATTCAGTTTACCTACTCCTTGCTTAAAGTGGCTTGCATTGGAAATGACTAACGATTGCAACTACTAGAATTATTGGATGTCTGGGTAGTTTAGACAGCAGCATTGCTTTGAATGCTGACGGGGTCGCCTACATAAGCTTAAGCGAGATAAAACACATGCAGGCAATGATCGTCTGCAAGATCTGAATGATGTATGTCACCGATCCCAATGTCAGTAGTCAATGCGAACGAGGTGGTGATAATGTTTACACGTTCAATATATTCCGGCTTAGTTCGAGTAAAATTACTCAAATAGTCGGATTTGGTTCAGGTTAAAGTTGTCACACTTAACAACTGAATTACTGATTCCAGTGAGGAGAGGCTAGACACAAGATGAAAGATTGCATGAGTTAGGTGTCGTGTCTATGAGTAGTCCATGTTATAAATGAAACAGATAAAGTAATTTGCACTTAAACTTCCTGGAAAGAAGAGCGGAGATGAATACACACTATAGCATTAAGAAATTAACCACTACATGGGAAAAGCTGTGTAACAGAACGAAGACTTACGGTTTCATTTATGCCTGGTAAGCGGTCTAACCACAGAGGTGGCCAAATATAATGGCTGTAGGTCAGCCTGAGGTTTTCATTTAGTTCCTTCATATTTCCTCTCAATTCGTCAAACGGCCACTGCGTACGCACCCAACTACCTGTAAAATTAACAAATGGCGCATACCAAAAGTGGCTGTCTATAGCTAGTACACTTGCGTGCTCAAGTTAACGTAGGTGGTAGTGGGGCAACGTACTGCATTACAGAGTCTCGCCAAATATTGTCTGCGCAAGTGTACATTTAAACCAGATGTGCTTGGCACCTCTCAGAATGCACAATCTGAGGATCGCTGATCTCTTAAATGTTCCAATGCGTCTTAAACAAAGCGTTGAGCCATAAACCAACATTAGATGTTCCGCAAGTCAGTACACCTTTGCTTTGCTAGCTAATCTGTTGTTCGGTCCTTGGCGTAAACATTGAAGGATTACGGGCTTTGCAAGCCCCCTTAATCTGTACAGCATAACTCTCGGTTTACTAGTCATAGCGATGATACAGCTGCTTAGCTATGCAAATGAACATCTATCTCAAATTACAGATGGATAGTCCGCATAACAATCCATCCAGAGCTGCTATAGGAACATGTTAACTAATAGAGTAATGCAAACAGCAAAGTGCGCGGCACTACTGCCAAAACTATTAACCTGCGCTCACATAGCACGGAAACGCAAAAGTAAGGTAGCCAAGGCTTAAAGTTATTGTGTTTCCGTTTGTCAGCCACCCCTCAGCTTAATCACATTTTCGAAAATAAGACAAAAGTGTGTTTTCTTATCATTTGATAGCTAACGATAGATGATAAGAAACAGCCTCTAGAATAAATTACATTTAATTTTTTAAGCTCAGGTAACTACGACCCATGGACTTATGCCGAATGCATAGTTCATTACGAAGAGGCTACAAAAACTCACGGTTTCTTAAGATCTGTGAGGCACGTGGTGTATTAATTTCGGTAGTTAGCATGTCACACGTGGCTCAGATTCTCAGCTCAGTAACAAGAATGTGTTTGGTGATACTTCCATATACTGACCTTTGTGAAACTACCGGCCGTTAGGTCACGGTGAAAATCCACGAAAAGACACGGCGTACCCCTGACAGATGAACATCCCGAACGCAATAATCTAACAGCTGGCTTGACAAAAATTGTGCAACTGATGATCTTAGTTTTAACTGAAGTAATAAAATGGTTTTAAGCGCTTCAAATATGCGGTGTTCTGTTGATAAACAAGTTTAGCTGCATAACCTATTCTCATCGGAAGTGCTTGATACCGTACCTTTTGTTCATTTCACAGGTACAGTACCAGCCTTGTAGCGGAGCTGTACGCTATCGGGCGCGTCCCCAGGTTGCGGTTCGGCGAATGCCTTCCTTGTGGATGTAACTGCGGATAAGTCTCGTTTGCTTTACAGTCGAGATGAATAATCAGTCGCGGACAGTCAGCGGCAGCGTCTCAGAGCGTGGGGAGTTCGGGGCTGGTCACCTGGTTCCCCATTAAATACCACAAGTGCTCGTACGGTGCTGTGTCAAAGCCAATGTGACCGACTATACGGTCACTGACTACTCACTCCTGTAACTGGAGGTGAGCATCTAACGGAGGGAGGTTGAACAACCTAGCTGGCCACCGACTTCTCTGTGGACTGCTTCCGAACACAAACAAGGCGAATGAGTCACTTGGCTGTCATCGGTCTTGGTGAATCACCCTGCTGTCTTGCGGGTCAGGTCTTTAGATCAAACGCTCGGGGCGGGGTCAACCCACTTCCACAGCCTGGGCCACCGGGAAGCTCAATGCTCACACAACACGTGGAACTTTGCTTCCATTTCTCCTACTCACTCTCAATTTTTTGTTTGTGTTACTCATGTGTTATGGCACTCTGCCAAATATTTATTGGGCAAGTGTTAAATACAATAATACAATACAGTACCAGTAATGGCTGCGTTGGGATGCCTCCATGCTGTTTTTGGACAACGTAAAAAGGCACACTTGTCTAGCTCATGGACATGAAATTGCAGGTTGAATAGTTCAACTGCTAGTCCAAAAAACAACAGACAATCGTTTCACACAATTTTTGCATGTTTGTGGTCCCTTTGTGGGAAATGATCCCTACCGGCCTTTAAAATGTCATGTGAATTCACGGCTACTAGCAAGGAAAGTCCGGAGACTTGAAACCCAAACACTGTCCTCTGCACGGGTAGTAACCTGCAAAGTGATAGAGGATGGGTCGGGCTGTAATGCGATTAAATTTCAATCCATGATGATAGGTTATAGTCCCCCCCCAAGGCTAGTAGCGTAAGTCACAAACGGTAATCGGTTCGATCTAGAGCAGGGGACCGAGGGAACGCGCACAACTGACGAGTCGCACTAGGACGAAATGATCTTCTGGTGCTTCTCCCGATTGTCGGTTGAACAAGTTCATTTACTAATTGCTTTAGCTACTCTCGGAAATTTGTAGCACAGCTTTTATTTCCCTGGTAAAATATTTAAAGATAATAAGCCACAAACGCCGATCCAAAGACATATCTACATTTCACTGCTCAGTGTCTAAGGAGTCCATAACAAGTAGCTGCAATCACTATCTTCATTCGGCAATGATGGTACGGGGATATCGTGTTAAGTATCCTTATTCCGCTACAAGAAGAGCAGTTCGCATCGGACGTCATTGGCATTGCAAGGAACAAAAGAGGTAGCCTATAAGAGTTTTAGTGATATAGTGATTGGTAGTAAACAGGTAGATTAACCGAAATTATTAAGTTCAAAAACAAAAAATAAAGCAGCGCAAAATGTTGCCGATGTAACTAAGTTTTATCTAGCTGCTTTCGTCAAAGTGTTTTGAATATCAAAATAGTAATGCTCCTGTACTTTGTGGAAGCTAAGGCATTCAAAACAACCCCTACATTCATCAGCACATTCATCAGGGATCATGCTACTAGTTTGAAGCTTTTTAAAGTTTTAACAGACAGCGCCGTAAGATAGACTTAAAATTAATTTCTGCAATTGGTTTAAATGGAAATGAGTTTTGGCAATACCCTTGGCTCGAACTTCTACACTTGGCCTTGCAGCTCGCTTCACTTTCATATAAAATGAAAACTATTTGGTGTTTGAAATACCACTCATTCACGGTAGTGACATGCATAAAGTTCAGTTAAGTAATGCTGTTTTGTGCAGTTTCAAGACGAGAATATTAGTATCAAATTTCAAATGTTGACGTTTTACTGCAAGTGACCAGCGAGACTTGCGATTTAATGATAAGACATCGTTGCGATAGAGGTTGGTGCTAAATACTGGCCAAGAAACTCAACGGGACTTGTACCATATATAGCTGATGCAATGTAGTATAGCTAGGTTCAAAGCATTTTATGTTTGGTAGAAAACATGTTAAGTCCTATGAGAGTCCGGGTTGGAATATCAAGCTCCGGGTACCAAAGTAAAGGGCATAGCGATAATTTTCGCTCTTTAATAGCTAAACATTTGCCGCAGGTTTTCCAGCACGGCTTTAATAAAGGGTTTGGTTTGGCATTTGTGTACAGAAAATCTATAGCTGACGGAATTTGAAATAACATAAAAGAAATAACTTCTATCGATAGAGTTAATTACTGGGCTTTTTCAAACTGCAGGTGAGTTGCACCGTGAAAATATGACATGGCTTTACATCATTCGACTCTGTCAAAATGCGATGTTAGTGAGTCTGAATCATTCGACGTCAGCCGCTTAGCTTCCTCCCCAAACTATCAAGGGAGCGGGCCGAAAATTTTGAAAGTTACCTTGGCTACGCCGGAGATGGCATCAATGGCAATTAACGTGTGGTACCACAGCAGAAGGCTAGGACCACCAGAAGTATGACTGAGACCATTCCTGCAAGCAGTACAGACCACTGGTACAGTTGAGTCAGACCTAACTTTTCCGCCCATAGACCAGCCAAGCGTGCAAACACTCGTGTCAAAAAACGTGGGCAGACCGGCACTGTTTGTGCCGGTCAAACACAGCGAACCCACCTCCTAATGCGGCAACAAATGCAATGCTGCTACACAAACGCCCAAGGACTTTACTCCAAGTTGCCGGAATTGCGCCATCGGCATGAAGCAGCAACTTGGGACATCATAGCATTAACTGAAACCTGGCTCTCAAACGAGATTTTGGATCCAGAAATTGAACTTAGTGAAATGGCAGTCATTCGAAATGATCGTCCATCTCGCGGTGGTGGCGTTGCTATCTACTACCGAGATCACCTGAAATGTGAAGCTCTCACTGAGCATTCCCTTATTATCCCCGACGCCTTATTTTGCCGGCTGCAGCTATCCGGTCCCGATGGTTGTCCTCAGAAGAAGACACATGATGCTTGCCTCATAGCAGTTGTCTACAGGCCGCCGAACTCCTCCGCCGACAGCGATGATATTCTGTTAAATGCTCTCCAATATGCTATGTCGAAAAAGTACTCACACTACCTAATAATGGGTGACTTCAATGTACCGTCAATAGCATCTGTGTTCCCAAGTGGGCCATGCTTCAAATCAAAACTCCTTGAGTTCTTGACTATGGCAGTTTTGTATAACCATGTGGATCAACCAACCAGACACCGCGGTTCAAACAAGCCTTCAATACTTGATTTAATCCTGACTAATGAGGAGTTAATGGTTGAGTCGGTTTCATACAACCCCCCGCTAGGTTGTAGCGATCATTCAGTTCTAACGTTTGATTATGTGTGTTATGCCAGTATGGTTGACAAAGAACCAGAAACCCGACGATTCATCACCAACTATTCCAAGCTTCACACTATAGCGACAACCGTTGACTGGGACCTCCAGATGCACACTTCGGCGAATGATGCCTGGCAAGTGTTGAAAGGCAAGATAAACTGGGTCCTACAATCAGCTTCAAAAGACGTACCATTACGAGTTTCGCGACGGAGCAACAACTGGATCCGGAGTAAAACACGTAAGTGGTTGAATAGGCGAGACGAGGCTTGGAGGGGTCATTTGCTAGGTCCAAGTGATATCACGTGGAATCATTACAAAACAGTCAGAAACTACTGCACTTCACTCCTTAAAGCTGACAAGTACGAATGGCAGGAAGCTATGGTACGCAAATTTACTAGCAATCACAAACTGCTCTA